ATTATTATTATTATCTGTATCATCAATGCAGTTTTTAGACCTGAAACCTGTTTTCTGTCAGAGCAGAGTGAACACAGTGAGACGCTTCTTTTAGGGTCAAGTATCAGTTTTGATTTCTATTTTTAATTTTCGTTTGAGAATAAAGCACACGAAGAAATCACAGCTGCACCGTCCCGTCCGCAGGCGCAGTCGATCACAGAGAGGGTGATCGTGTTCCTGCTCAGCCAAGTTGTGGAGAGGTCCTCTTCACCGGGGGAGGCMTCCTTCTCCCTGCACCCCCCCACAGAGAGCTGCAAAGTGCTGTGGACGGACAGCCAGGCGGTGGGCTTCTACACCGTCAAACGCAAAGGTGGGCTTTGTGGAGGGAGATAAAAACCTTTACTGTAATAAAACAAAGCACGTGAACATAATAAATAATAATAAATGTTTTTGTCTTTATAATATATGTTTCATATGGGGCGCCGAGTGTAAAATGAAATTGAAGGAAATTCTTTCTGTTTATTAGTGATTTTTAAATGCATCACACATACTGRTTTATGTATTAAGTTTAAATAATAAATCCTGAATCTGGATGTTTAAATCTAAATGTAAAAGTTAAATGTTGACGTTCACATTTAGGTATTTTGGAATGGAACGCAGCCTTTGCTGTTTGAGCTTGGTTCATGTTAAATATGTAAAAATATATTTTTTATCATTTAAATTTAACATTTAGTAAAAAATTAGCTAAATATAAGAACGGTGAGCTAAATAACAATAAAATGTTGGTGGACATTTTTTTTTAAATATAATCTAGATATCTGGCAGTTAACAAGCTTTAGAGTCTGTGCTCGGTGTCAGGCAGATCCATTTTCATCAACTCTGTTGTGTTTTGACAAAGGCCAGGCTGAGGGCTGTGGAGTTCCTGTTTCCTGTTCTTACATAAGTGAAGTGTGAAAGTGTTTGACTTTGGACTCGACGCTGCCAAGATCTGCTTCATATGAAGGAATTATCTTGAGTGGGAGAAAAAAAAAGATGCAAAAATGAAATCCACGATCACAACACGTCTGTTAACGTCTTGATCTGCGTTTCCACCTCCAGTCTCAGCCTGAAGTCCAGGAACGGTCGAACACTCGACCTTCATTTTAACCATCAATCTGGATTTTTTTTTTTTTTTTTTTGTAAGTAAAGATTGTTTTTGCACAGGGGCTGTATGATCTGCACATTCTAGCTGACAGCTTCAGAGAGACTAAAAGTAGTATTTCACTGGGAAACAACTTCTGACAAGTTGGCAAACAAACAGCAAGCACAGGAGAGTCTCCTGAATGTCTCCAAACGGTTTCGGGGTTCTCAGTTTTCTCATTTGATCTCAGGCTTTCTCTCAGAAAAGACCGAGTCGTCGTTTGCGAATACTCAGATTTCCTTGAGACTGCAGCTGAAAGTTTGCTAAATGTTTGACCTGAGTGGTTTTTAATGTTTGTTTTTAAATCAAAGCTGTGCTGTGACTCCGTCCTGTGGGGGTTTCAGGCAGCCTGTGTGAGAGCTGGAGCAGCCGCTGCTACCTGCTGCCCGTCCTGGACACGGTGCTGGTGAGGAGGAGCTGCAGGAGGAGAGGCTTCGGCCTGCAGATTCTGGAGGACTTCTGCTCCTCGTTCTCCTCGGAGGAGTTTCTCGGACTCAGCTCTCCGTTATCCCCCAGCATGGCAGCAGGTCAGCTGGGGTCTTCCTGTTTATCTCTGGACTTCATGACTTCTGATACTTTTAGCTTTACAAACTCAGTTTTAGCAGTGGTGGATCCAGGATTTTTCTAAGTAAGGGGCCATCAAGGGGCCACAATATTCATATAGGGGTCAAGTATTTGTTCAGCGTCCTTGCACACAAATCCCTGGTTTTAGTAAGGTGTATATACTTAACCAGCCACACATTTAAACACTTATAATGTCATTTTTAAAAAGCTTGCACAGTAAATTCTACTTACCAATTTTACATGCATTTTCACAGTACATAGATAAAATACTCTCAAATACACAACATGGGAGAGAATCCAGCCATCATTTGTGAGTTGAAAGACTTTTTCTGCAGGATTGTTCAAATTTTAAGAACAGAAAAAAAAAAACTTGTGTCCACTTGATTAAGGCTGGACTTTTCTATTTGGCTCATTAGCGCCTCTAGTGTTTGGATATGAAACTGCACCCAACATAATCGCTCTTGGGCAAAGGAGAGATGAGTGACAGGACAGGGGCACTTCAGGGGGTAAGTCAAATTTTAGCAGGGGCCAATGCCCCTGTGGCCCCGCCCCTAGAACCGCCCCTGAGTTTTAGGGTTTTCAGCAAATTTTAGTGAGGCCTTTCAGCAGTGTTGTATAAAGTACCTCAAAGTGATACTTGAGTAAAAGTACAAGCATCTTATCATAAAAATACTTTGGTAAAAGTTAAAGTCTTCTCTAAAAAATATTACTTGAGTAAAAGTCTTAAAGTATCTGATATTTTTTGTACTTAAGTATCAAAAGTAAATTTCTGGCACAAAATCTACTTAAGTAGTAAAAGTAAAAGTACTGAGTAAAAGTGAGCAGTTCGGTTTTCCAAAAMGACATTTTTTTAACGGGAAGTGACTTCTCAAAAAAATATTTTTCCTAACGGRGTGCAGCTGTGATGGGTTGTGTACAAGCTAATAGTGTGTCAGAATGATATATATTTATACTTCTCATCCAACCACAATTAYATTCACTCTATCCAGGAGATACAATTTATCAGGATAGCTTTTTAAGTAACAACAACTCAGAATAAAATAGGAGTAACGACTTTCTACTTCTTACCTTTTTAAAAAATGTAGTGAGTAGAAAGTACAGATAATTGTGTAAAAATGTAATGAGTAAAAGTAAAAAGTACGCTGAAAAATAGTTACTCAAGCAAAGTACAGATACCCAAAAATTCTACTTAAGTACAGTAACAAAGTATTTGTACTTAGTTACTTTAAACTCTGCCTTTCAGCTCTCAGTATTCCCTCTGTATTCTCACAAAAAAAGCCATTTCTCCAGTTTTCATAAGTTGCCTGATTATTACACAGTCTGCGTTCCCAGCTCTGGCAGTAACTTGTTTTCTCCCACATGCACTTATTGCAGCGATTATCTGTTTATGTTTTGGTGCCTTTTTAAAGATGCATGCAGAACAAAACAAACTGTCTTTGTGTGGCTGTTCAGTGGTCAGGAGGTTCCTGCAGGAGCACGAGGAGCACCGGGAGCGTCTGTATGAGGTGGAGGCTCCGGGAGGCTGGGCTCAGCGTCGGAACATCTGGCTCAGCCTCCAGCTGGGTCACTACCCGTCCAAGCAGCAGGTGAGGAGAGCCTCAGAGACTACAATGAAAAATAGTTTCCTCATTAATCCTCATTATAACACAACTTCATGAATAAATTTAGAGTCTCAAACACATGATTTAGTTTTTACGGTTCAGTTGAAGCTGCAGGAGAACTCCCTGTTTTATGAAATCTGTTTTGTGCAAATTAAATAATAATAATTGACAGCTGTGTTTTCAAATCTTTCTGTCTCCGTGCAGGAATGTGGGGAGGACTCGACCCCATTCAGCACCTGTAACTCCAACACTCCCCTGCTGCACATCAACCGTCGTGACGTGAACCACGGACAGCTCTCCCAGAGCGGCGAGATCTCCGAGTCGGGATGTTTTCCTGCGGCCCACTCCGACGAGCTGGATTTCAAATCTCCCAACGGGCCTCGAATCGCGGAGCGAACGCTGAAATCCAAGATTGTCTCATCGAAGCAGCGCAGCAGAGAGAGCCCAGAGGAAACACAGGAACAGTCCAAGAGAGCAAGAAGAACAAAAGTCAGCTTGTAAAAATACAAACTGTTCACATTGAGCAATGTCAGACCCCAGAGGGAACTGCTAACAGGATCCAGAAAAAGCCTTGTGCAACGCCATAATGAAAGAAAAAAGTATGAAAGATGTGTACAATGACAACACAGTGATGTTCACAACTCAAAAACTAGATTTTATTTATAATAAAAGCCTAACTACAATCAATTCTACAGATGTCTGTGTCTTTTCAGCTGTTTATCATGTTCACCTCCTTCAGGAGATGTTACAACATTATAAAACACACAATATTTTATTTACAAATTCCCCTAAGAAATACGTAGATTAAAATCATCTTCACCATCACTGAAAAATATTTATTATGCAAGCTGTATTTTTAGTTTTTAGCCTTTTTTTTCCCTAAAACTTTTTGCAATTATTTTGCTCCTTTAGCTAATTTTTTTACTTATTTTAGTTTCTAGTTGGCATATTTTTGACTTGCCTTGGTACTTTTAATTAGTTTATCTACCTTTAATAGTCCTTTTGGCTGGAGTCCAGCAAATCTCAGGTTTTTTATTTTATTTTTTGCTTTTTTTTAAGTTAATTTTGTTTATTTTAGCTTAAAGGGCTTTTCAGATAAAGAAGCTGAATTAGCTCTTCGTTTTCTGTATTTAATCTAATTTTTACAATTAAATATTATATCTTCTATCATGGGAAAACTATTATTCCAGTTTGGGGATTATTATTATTATTATTATTATTATTATTATTATTATTATTATTGTTGTTGTTGTTGTTGTTGTTGTTGTTGTTGTTGTTGTTGTTGTTTTGCATTGGGTTTAAAAGTTTTCTTATCCTCTCTGTTCAAGTCGTCGGCACTAAGAGGCGTGAAAAACGAGCGCACCTCTCAGTTATAGGAACAGGAAGTTGGAAGCAGGAAAAATCTCTTGTCTTATGAAGAAAATTTAAGATTTTGTATTTAAAAATGAGCAGAATTTATCACAACGAGTCTTTGCAGAACAAACCTGTCCACAATGAGAAGTTTGACCGTGTTTGGTCCCCCTCTTCTTATGAAAGGTAATGATTTAAAACTTGAGCGTCCGAGAGAGAGAGAGAGAGAGAGAGAGAGAGAGCGCACCACACCTCTAAGGAAAATCATGATTTTTCTGCTTTTCTCTTAATGTAAAATAAATCTCCTTGATTTGCAGTCATCACGGGAAATTCTATAAATAAAATTGAATATGGCTCTATTCGGCTTAGTTTGAGTGTAAATATTGTGGCGGTATTTCACCAGAAAACATCAGAAACACGAAATCTTTATAAATGTTCGCAACTAATCACTATGAGGACTTTTTAAATAACACGGAATAGGAGTTTGGCAGAATTAAGACAGAACATTATCACATCACWGACCATGTTTTCTGAAAGAACTGATATTTTAAATGCTGACARATGATGAATTATAAGTTATTAGACACTGATTGTACCGATATGCAAACTAAATGTGATGTTTTAAAATGTTTGTTTAGTGGTCCTGGGCTGCTTCTAGAAGGAAAGCTGCTGGATGTTTCCAGACATTCAATTAGTGACGTCAAAGGTCAAAAGGTAAACACTACTTTTTTTTTAATTAATTCAACCATAGTGGTTCAAAAGCTTAGCTGTTGTGTAAATATTATAAACACATGGAACATAATAAACATCAGATCTTAGTACTAGGAAATTGTTTAATATTTAAAAAAATACAGTAAATTTGAATTTTATGGCTGGAAAACATCTTTAAAAAGTTAGGACAAGGAAACAATGGGTTGTAAAAGCGGTGCAGATAAACAGCTGGAAAAGTAGTTTAATTGGCAACATTTTTGTGCACACCATATAGAAACACTGCAGTCCTCACCAGATCAGAGAGAGTTTAATGGACTGAAGCACAGTGAAAAACTGTTCTGTTCAGACCCCTCATTGTACCAAAAAGGGACAATCCAGCCTGTTAGCAGTGCACAGTTCTGAAGTCTGCCTCTCTGATGGTATGGGGGTGCATTCGAGCTTTTGACCTATGCAGCGAACACATCTTAAAAGTATATACAGGTTTTAGAACATCTATCAAAAAGTCAAACAAAGAAAACCCAGGACTGTTTGACACTTAGAGTCCTACATCCGACAAGTCCAGCAGCTGGTCTCTACATGTTCCACACTGTTGATAAAAGAACAGGCGATGCTTCACGGTGGAGAAAAATGACCCTGTCCAAACATTTGTGAGATGTGTCGCTGCCATCACGTTGTAAATGACCTTCTTTTCTCAGGCTCAGGAGATATCAGAACAGACAGACTGTAGTGAGACGGATCACATGAACGCTCATTGCTTTCCTGCCTTCTGCACCTGTCAGGTTCGGCTCTACGTGCTGTACATCAAACCCAGTCGCATCCATCAGAGGAAGTTCGATGCCGGTGGGAAGGAAGTCGAGCCGAACTTTAGCGACACTAAAAAGGTCAACACTGGTTTCCTCATGTCTTCCTACAGTGAGTTTATGTTTCACTCCCTGACGCCTCGGTTGTTATTTTCCTCAGTAACACTTCACGCCGACTAAAACTGAACATTTAAACAGAAAAGTTTTGCGTTTGTGTTTGAGAAGTGTGTCTCCTGTGTGCACAGAGGTGGAAGCTAAAGGGGAGTCGGATCGTCTGACTGAAGAGCAGCTTTCAGCTGTGATTAACAAACCTGAGCTGGTTAAGATCACCGACAAACACCGACCGTCCGGGACCTGGGCCTTCTGGTACCCCGAGTCAGAGATGGACAAAACGGAGCTGGAAACAGGACAGGAAGTACGGCTGAAGACCAGAGGAAATGGGCCTTTCATATGTGAGTCCGCAGGGTCAACGTTCCTTACAGAGACATAATCAGAACATGTTTGTAAAGTGAGCTGAGAATGTCTGAATTACTGAGAAATGGTTTCTCATGATGATCTTAGAATAAATTTAAAAATAACGGTACAGTTAGTCRGTGTGCACGTTCTATTCTGCATAAATCTGGTTCAGTTTGGCAAATATTGAGATGATGTAATGAGTCATCACCTTTTAATCCTCAGGTTAAGGTTGTATGCAACAATTTTTAAAAGAAAATTCAGCTTTTTTGTTAAGTGGGATTGTGTGGAGAGTCAGTATCTTACCTGGTGTGATGAGTCAGAGTGATCTCAGAGGGAGACATTTTTCTTCAAGATCAGGTTTTCTTCAATGGGAAAAAAAAGTGTTTTAAATATTTCTGCATCTCATGACTTTCAAATGAAACAGCTGTTTATGTTGTAATGATTTCTCCGTCAAATTAAGCCCTTTTTGCTTCTTGTAACTGAAGTGTAATCTTCGGTTTCAGCCTAAAAATCTGCACGTTTAAAGCCAAACATGATGCGCAACTGTTTTTTTATTTTACAGACTGTAAACAAGTTTAGATTTGTTTCTTTTGTTTTAAAAATCTTTAAGCTCAAGCTTCATGATACATCTTTAATAAACTGCAATCATTACATTCACAAAACAAAAAATACAATTGTAAATGTTATGGACTAATTATCTATCTGTGTCACTTGTTCAATGTTAATCTGTGTTGGCCCAGACAACAGGACTCCGCAACGGACTGACCTCTCTTGTTTGATAAGACACTCTTTGAGCTGGGAGCCCTGTGATAGGCTGGACAGTATATTAGGTGATCTGTGATTGGTTATAAGCACGTCACATGATGTTATCATGGTGTATATTATTGGCTGTGTCCGCTGACGTGTCAGCGATAAGCCAACAGAGCTTCCTGATTGAGTCCTGTTTGTCGCTCAGAATTAAATCATTATTTACGACCATACACGCAGACTTTTCTGGCATTATTCCAACGTGTTTCTGCTTTCATACGACGACAGTAAATTACAAATTACAATTAAATTACAGTCTTAATTACAATCTCATCTACTCTCCATGCTGACCAAAACGTTTCCTGACTCTTGAACAACTTCAAAGCCAACAATAAAACAGTATCTCATCTACCTGGTCTTTGTTTTGCACACATATTGTTATATATTGCACAAATGCAAATGTATGTACCTTATTATATATCTTTCTGTCTATACCACCTACACCTTGATATTAATGTGGATTCTACCTCACTCTATTTCTAATTTATTTTTATTAATATATTTTTTCTGTTTTTTATATGCCTAACATATTTTACTATGATTTAGCATTTCTAACTTTACATTCTTTATATTTTATCAAGCTGTTTATGTCGTTTGCTAATATGCATCGTCATTTTGTTCTACAGTGCATCTCTGTGTTTGAATGACAATAAAGAGGATCTGAATCTGAATAAACCAAAGTTTTTTTCCTCATCTCCTAGTTTCTTTAGCCAAAGTGGACGGCGGATCGGTGACAAAGTGCAACTTTGCTGGTGATGAAAAGGCCGGAGCCTCGTGGACGGACAAAATAATGTCCAACAAGGCGGAAGCTGCCGGATCCCAGAGGGCTGGAGGAGGAGGAGGAGGAGGGGAGGGAGCGGAGGAGGATGAATGGGTGAGAAACAAAGCGAGGTCAAATCAAATCAGCGGTTATTGCAACAGTGGAAACGCTGTTTGAAATGTGCATCGAATTCTGACTCCTGCATTTTTCTCCTCATTTGTCAGAAGTTTTCTCATGATTTTCCAAATATCAGCTACATACTGTAAATCCTCAGTTTAAGCCTCACTCACCTGAACTCACCTGTTTCAGGATGAAAGAAAAATAGCTTCCTGGTAGAGTTTTTTTTAATTAATGAACAAAACATTTTCCCCCTCATAACACACAAAAAAAACCAGTGATTTTTACCTGTTTTAAAACCTCAGCCTTCATCTGAAACTATTTGAAACAGAAAAAGAGAGCAGCCGCTACGTTTTGTTCATCATTAGAGACATAATTAGATGTTTGAAACAGAAGCTTTTTGTTCAGGTGATTTTTTTTAAGATCGGCTGCAGCAGAATCCATCTGTGGCTGAAGGTTTGTCCAGAATCTAAACAGTTTCTTTTCCCTCCCTCAGGATGATTGAGGAAACCACCTCTTCTCATCAGCCTCACCTCTTGACTCCGATCCAGCCCTGCAGTGCTGAACGTCAAACAGTCCTAAACTTCTGGCCCCCCGGGGCTGAAAACCTGACGTCACGTTCACCATGTGGGACGCGGCGGACTTTATCCCCGTCAGCGATGTGTGTTTTAGATTTCTCCTGGTGTATTCCTTGGATTTAATCCCCTTGTTTATTAAACCAGAGCTCCAAACGCTGCCATTAATTACCATTACAAATTAGAAGACATGAACAGCTGTTTCCTGTTAAAAAGCTGTTTCCTTCAGCTCTCCAAAAAAACTAAATAGTTCATTATCATCTGTCCATGACTAAATGAGTTTTACATAATAATCGCCTGCTGCTTTTGTTTACTTAATCATTGAATTTTAATAAAAAAAATGATGAAAATGAACGTTTTTCTACTGACTTTCAGCTGTTTCAAAAGTTTAACCACATTTTTCCTGAAATATTAAAACAACCTGGGGGATGTTTTGAGGAATAACTTCATTAGTGTCGATTTTTAAGCTTTGTTTCATATATTTCTGCATTTTTTTCCCATTACCAGCACTAAGAAAAGAAGGTTTATTTAAATAAAACTGAAGTCCAAATCTCCTCTGGGTTTATTGTGCAATCAAAACAAAACTAGCTGAGATTCAAAGTGTGGCTGAATGAATCAGCAGCACGTTGATGACTAAAGTTTATTTTGCTTTGAGTATTGTTGGAAAAATCAGATGAAAATGCATTAAAACAACTAATAACTAGACATGGGTTTTCACGATTTAAAAACAAGTGTGCATTGCCTTGTAGTATGTCTTTGCCAGCATCAGTTCACTTGCAGAAGGAACTGTGACCAAGTTCAAATGTATTATCTATACCAGCTTTTGCCTGTCAAGTCAGCAGGTGTTTGTAATTAGTGTGATTGTATGACAATGTGAAAATATTTAGTTTTAATGAAATAGTTTGTTCATGGCTGGGATTGAACCCTGATGTTCAGCATGAAAGCCCACAGTGTTCACCATGAGGCCATAGGAGCTGCTCCAGTAGGTACTCCCAGTGGTAGGTTTGTATGTGTGCTGAAAGAGGCCATATTGCCAATGCAATTGTTGACACTAAACTGCAATATATCACAGCAATAGAGCAGTATTAAAACAATATTATAGTAAAACATCAAAATACAATCATATTAGTAGTGTAAACACTGAACTACTGAGTTGAAATATTAAACTATGGTGCAGTACCAAGTTGAGTACAGCATGGGGCAGTATTGGACCAATACAAGGCTCCATTGACTGCCATTATAAGTTATTAAACATTAATATTTCAAAAACTATAAGTTTTACAGGCACCAAAAGGCATAGCCATCATTTGGCACAGGGGCTTTACAGATATGAATTACAATGGCAGCTCTAGGACAATGTATGCAGGAGGAGAAGCATGGCAAAGTTGAGATGACTTGGATGGGAAACGAATCACAATAGTGTGCATTGCATTGGTAACGCACACTGATTAAAGGTTAACCTTCCATGAAAGAATGAACTGTCACTTTTTGTACCACAGGTTACGATTACGTTGGAAAACCCTCAAAAATAACTTTATGCATCAGCAATTATTAGTACAAAAGCTGTAAGATCGACTTATTTGTGCCCATTTTTGTTTTCTAAGCTGTTAATTTGATTTCTAAAGCACTTTTAAAACCAACAAGTATGGCCAAAGTGCTTTACATTCTGGTTAAAAACAAATCAAATATGTTCAGAAAATCACATAAAAACCAACAGGTACAATAAAACAGGATGTAAACAAAGAAACACTGCAAAATAAAAAAACAATCTGATGGAAGTCAAACTGAACTGGATTTAAAAGCAGATGTAAAACTAAACTTTGCACCATGAATAACCAGAGTCTGATTTGTGTTTTAATTGATCTAAAGCTGCAGATGTTCAATGATTTTCTGCATTAAACTCCATCAATGTGATATTTTGCTAACAGACACACAGATGAAAACATTATTTCCGTTTTAACTTTTAGGTTTCAGGAAAAGAAAGAAAAGAGATGTTTAACAATGTTTTCTTTCAAACATTTCCAGTACAGCAGCAGCAGCAATGATTGAGATCTTTGATTAGATTTAACATTAAGTTCATGAAAATTATGTTAAATAACAAAACTTTACCATGAAGTTGTTTGTGGAAACATGCAGAGATTTTTTTTTACAGATGTTTAAAGATTAGCAGCAGGATTTGAAACTGATTTTTAAACTGATTTCATCTTATGAGAAGGGAAGAAAACGGATGTTTAAACCATGAAAACGTTCAGTTTGTGGAACGATTTGATGCACAGGCAGCAACAACAAGAGAAATAAAACTGTTTTCTTAAACAGACAACTTACAATTATGAGCAGCACATTTAACATTATTAAACAAAGTGAAGTTTGTTTTTAGTGATTACAGTCTATAAATAATGCACATTAGTATTTACATAAACAGTCAATACTTGGTGGTTCAGGCTGGCTGCCAGCTGAACCTCACAGAAACCTGAAAGTTCTGGTGAAATCAGGTTTACTGTTCAGTCATTTGATGACCCAGATTGTCAGAAGCACAGATCTGTTACTCCATGTCGGCAGTTTCTGTCAGGAACCACTGCAGGACCACGTCTTTGTTCTCGCTGACCCACTGGATGTTGACCTGGGTTTGCTCCACGGCTCGTTTCCCGGCCATGTAGGCACCGTCCGTCTCTGAGTTCCTCACAAAGTTGGACAGCTGTCGGCACGAACGCACAGGAAACACAGAACGTCAGGACACTGAATCGTTTAAGATGAAAACACACGTTTCTGAACATTCAAGGTACATTTAGCACAGGGGTGGGCAATCCTGGTCCTGGAGGACCGCAGCCCTGCATGTTTTACTTGTTTCTCTGCTCCAACACACCTGATTTAAATGAATATATTATTATCAGGCTTCTG